ATTGCATCAGTTTTAACATCAATGAGTAGGACTCAAACTAACCAGAAAATAATCACCCAATTTTCTTTTTTGATGATAACTAAACAGTTCTGAATAAATGATAGCCACATGATATATCATTAAAGAGTATTTGCATTATAGAAAATAAGGATCACTGATGGCTTTTAGTAAACAAAATCATAACTATTTTTACTCAACTAACAAGTTTGGTAACAAACAGTGCAATACAGAAATTTAAAGAGGCTTAAGAATAGTGAAATATCTTTTAGAAAACTGTGTAAAAGTATCAAGTGAATTGAAAGAAAAAATAGTATGACTAAAAAAAAAATCCTATGTAATACCAGGAGTTAAGAAGACAAGATAACGATTGGCATTGCATTTAAATTTTTGAAGATCAAACTTGACTGGAAAGCATGAAGTTGAAAGAAAGTTCACAATTGAGAAGAAACTGTTAGCATTGAACTTAGTTACATCTTTGCCATTTCAACTGTAAAATGATGAGATCATGCCACCAATCTAGTACTGCAATTAAATTCATTAAGTCAAAGTACCAAAGAGGAAAGCTCATCTGAACAATTACCATAAAAATATTTATAGAAAAAGCACAGTGAAGCTACATTACAGTAGTGGGGAAAATAACTAAAGCCAAGATGTTGGGCCAGGACTGATAACATTGTTGATTCTTCTTTGTATTTTATTAACAATCTCTAAATATATAGTAGAAGTACCAGACCAGATGCATGAATGAATGATAGACTTATAACTATACTTCAATAAGGTAGTGAAAGAAGGGAATTTTGTCACAATTTAAAAAAAAAATGCTGAAGTCAGCAACAAAATTGTTGCAAATACAATAGACAAAGCATGCAAATAATGAATATGTTCTATGGACTATATAAGCTACAAAAAAACTGTCCATAACTGAAATCTTGGGTGGCATACAATGAGAAAAGAAGACTTAGAGAATTCAACACTCACATCAACATATCAAAGAAAAGACAAATTGAGGAAAGCAGTAGGTAACCTCATTGACAAGTTTGAGCAAATAGATGGGGGATCAGATGCCACAAAAACAAAGAGTGGTCATAAAGGTGAATGTATTGTTGAGTGTAACAAAAGAGAAGAAACAGTGGACAACCATTATCAACCATGTTCTGAAGAGACATGGTGCAGAGAGAGTAAAATTTTAAAATTTGACCAATACCACAAAATAGAAATGATAATTAATTGCAGTATTATTTCAAATCCCTTTAACAAAAATTATTTGTAGCTTTTTGAAGAGTGACAACTATTTCACAAAAGTGATTTGCTTTATTGTTTATAAAGCATTATACAAAGAAGAGTGGTGAACTAATATTTTATATCAATCTTCCAATATGGCAATGAATACTGGATAATTTCCTCACAGATGAAGAGAAGACTGGAGGCAACAGGATGCTGGCAATACCATGGACAAAGCATGTGAACAATGGGAAAATTTTAAGGAAAATTGAAACAAAAAGGACACTGATGTTTAGAATCAGAAAGAGATAACTGAAATTTCTGGGACACAAGTGGAGAATTTGACACTGATAAGAGATATTGAAGGCAAGGTGGGGGCAGAGTGAAATGTGTAACCTACTTAATTACCTTGTGTAAATGGATGTCAGAACAGGTACTGGTAGGGATAATAAAAAGACATATATCGCTAAGAGCTATAAAGAGTAGGAAGTTGTGGGAAGTCATGATTGCCAAAATACTGAAGGAACACAGCACATAATCCTCTTGTGAGGAATAACTCTAATGTAGGAACATGGGACAGCAGAGACTTACATTACAAGGGGATGCCAAAAAGCTCTCAGCAACTAAGAAGCCCTTCAACAAAGAAAAAAATATGTCTCATCAAGTTTTAGGAAATCAGCTGGATCAGGAACTTTTCAGTGCCACCTCATATAATGACAAAGTGAAAGTTTTTAATACTGATTTATTAGAGATGTTGGCTTGTGAAGGATTATTGCCAAATGTGTTATGGAAGAATTTAATTATCATTACTTATATCATCAGTCCCATGACTAGGTGTCATCATAGGGTCACTACAAATGATCCAGTCCAGCTAGCTAACAATTATATGATGATGAGACAATGGAGGAAGTTATGCCATATCAGATCCAGTTCTAAAGAATTTATAGCCTCTCAAGCTTTCTCCTGAGAAATGAACCATTTTGGTTTAAGTTTAACACTCATACCAAAAATGAAAAATATTGCTCAATCTGTATAGTTCATTTAAATACATACACTACAGGAATGATTCAAAGTTACCCACATGACCTTGTGTCCAACTAAGTTTAATAAATGACTCGAATTCTGTAAATATCTTCAATGGCTGACACCCAGTTTATAATACCTCAGAATTTTTATATTTGATTCTGCCATTGAAACATTTAAAACAAAAATTACTGCTGAATATTAATGTTAATAATAATGTCTGGTTGCTTCACTAGGCATGTCTTAAATTTTTTTTTGCAATGATATTCACCCTGTACAAAACTCAAGAGTCACTCGAGGTAGAGGGTTATAGAGTAAGAATCACATTTTATGGGGTTATGTGGGGAAGACTTGAACAAGTTAAGATTTCAGTGATTGGTAAGCATCCTCTCGGGAGTTAGTTCCACAAAGCAATGGATTGTTGGAAGAAGCTTCTTGAGTAGAACTTACATTTCACTAATGGAATAAGGATGTTTCACTACAATGTGCATAGCATGGCAGGTTTTGATATGAAGTTTAGAACTAATGGAATTAAGGAATGTAGTTCATCTGAACACTTTCTATGGAAATAGCAATAGAACAGCAAGAGGCTTGTGATGTTCCATCTGTGGGAAAAGGGATTGTATTGATTGAGTGTTAACATGTACATGATTTTCTTGATGAATTAAGATGGGTTACAGTAAATATCTCAATCCAGTCCCACATATTTGCTTATCAGTTTTCTGACTTCAACCAGGTTGGCATGTCCCCTAGGTGTTGATGCACTGTGCATCTATTCACAAGTGAAATTATTGCTGAAGCATCATGACTGGGTGCCAAGAAACTTGTTTTTTATGTTGTAAGTTTGCATGATGAGGCAGCCAAGGCAACTTGGGAGTCACATGTAGATAGATACTTGGGAAGACTATGTAAGCAGAATGGTTTACCTGACCTGAAGGTATTTCTAACTGGGCCCCACCTGCAAATTTATATACTGCTTTTGTCAAAAACCAGTTACCATATCACACACTTTTGGCTGTGATGCATGTGCCTGGTATACCCTTATTGAACTGGGTGTCACAATAGCTATAGTTGGCTTTGTATATTTGTAGCCCAGCATCACTTTGTGCTATTCTCTAACTCATTAATAATAATAATAATATACCTGAAATAAGCAAAATAAAATTTGGAGAAAATTGATACATCAATATCATGCCAATATTTTATTCCTGGTTTTGAAAACTGACCTGTAGCAGCAATGCACACAAACCTTGAGGGAGAAATGAGAACCTAATCATAGGATTCCAAGGCCAACTTCTAAAACTAATGCTAAAACTTCCCTATCTATAACTTGTGACATTAGCATATTTAGGCTGTACTAAATTATAGCATTAATACATTTCAAATAAGCTAAGTCTGGTACAAGGTTGCATCTGTAGAGCAAATTAAACTGATTATACATGATTCATTTTTTGACTTACTTTCATGTACAGCTGTCAAATCTGAAAAATTTTAAGGTAATTTTTTGTCTTTGGTTCATTGAGAGAGAAGGTTCTCTGCCACTTTTCTGTTATAGAGGAAGATCTTTTGAAGTAATAATTAGTGTTCAATGTAAAATTATTTCTTTTTTATTATTAATGGCTGAACAAGAAACGTGTATGCATTGAAAAAGTAATTTCTCGGTATTTGTTAGAAATTTAGTTGTAACAAGTGAAATCTATATTTTTTCTTTTATGCTACTAATTACTATTATACAATTACTGTACATGACGTGGCAATGAAAATTTATCTTGATGCATATGAATAATGACAGTAACAAAAATATTGTAAAATAAGACATTTCTCAATTATACATTTCATTTCTTTTAAATGTACAACTGATTAAGTTTAACAATGATATACTCTGATGATAAAAAAAAAAAATAAATTAAATCTGTAAGCTCTTATTCAAACCCAAAGATAACTTTTAAATGAAGAACAAGGGAGGCAAAATAAACAAGAGAAATGCTAAAATGTTTACTTGTATATTCAGTAACAAAAACTCCTTGCAGCTGAAAAAAAAACATGCAAATGAATGAGCTGATATGAAAATTGCAAATTCTTCCCAAGATTTTATTAAAAAAATGAAATATTTTTTTTTTTAAACAAGACAAATAGATTTTGTAAATAGATTTTATTTCACAGTTCTTTTTAAAATTAGAAAAAATCTTTATTAGAAAAAAATAAAAAAACTTTCATTATAAATCTTAAGGAATTGAAATATTTCCTCAAGTGAACTTCATACTTCTTGGTGCCAATATTAATAACCAAAAAAATGGTTAGCAGACTTGGTTTTTTTTGGTCACATTCACTTCTGTATCTTGGACAAGTGTATGCTATTTTTTCTCTCTCACCCTCCCCAGAGAAAAAGCAGCCATCAGCTTTTGGCTTCATTCTTTTTTTTTTTTTTTTCAATTAAAAAAAAAAAAGAAAAAAAGTTGACAAGCCTTATACTACTTGGGTCAGAACAAATTCATCTTCCATTTTGGAATGTGCTTTTATCCTAAAATAAGCTTGGCAATTCCAAAGCAAATTTCATCTGAAAAGCCTTGTCACATTATAGACATTTTGTAAACTTGCTTGCTTGGGGCCCTGTTACATCTGCTGGTTAGTATGGCTTGAATGATCCACATCCTGGAGGGAGACTGGTCACTTGGTAGACAAACCAAGTGTCACGGCCGCCCATGATTTGAATGGAGCAGACGTCAACCCCCTTCAGTAAACATGGACAGGTCATCCTATACACCAACCTGTAATAATAGGAGACAGAATATTAATTCTGTGCAATGTATAATTTATCAATGTAAAAGGAGTACAATACAAAATACTAACAAAATTAGTTTTAAAAAAAATTCTAAATAAATTAAAAGCTTTGATAAATTTATTTGATGAATAACTGAAAATTATAGCTGCAAAAGTTTTTACGTTGCATAATAAATGATTTCTAGTCACACACAAAAAAAGTTTTCATATTTAAGATATTTTGGTAATTTGATATCAATTTAGAAAAAAAAAGTATACTTTAACAATGAAGCTTTTGCATCCTTTTATTAAAAACTGAAAAATTAAACATTTACTTCCAAAGTTAAACTATTCATTTGCTATGGAAAATCCATTTGTCATGCAAATATTTTGGTTTACTGGTAATAAATAGGTGTAAGTGAATAAAGTTTATTCTTGAAATAATGTAAAATTTTCATTATTACTAACAAAATGATTTGAAGAGAAAAATAAGAGTGATTATTTTTTGTAAAGTTAACATCTAATGAAATTTTACTTAGATTAACATATGCACATACTCACAAAAAGTATTGACAGAAATTAATTTAATATCAGCTTTATACATAAATTTTTACATGGGCATATTTACAATGTCCTTAAGAATAAAAACTACCTTTATTTACCCAACCTGCCACACACACACAGAGAATTGTAACACATTTTACCTCTGCTTTTTGATCATCTATATTTTTAACCTTAAAAATAATTGAATGTAAAACACATTTTAATATCTGATGGAGGCGTGTATTTTTTCCTAATAGGTTAAGGTCAGCAGATGGTTGTTTTATTTTGATAACATTTTTTATACACTGAGGTTATCCAGTTTGAAAATTAGTAGTCACACTTACCAAGAAATTTAACTATTTTATACACAAATCATAACATATTGGTAAAAGGAAATTTTTTTTTAATCTAAGTATTTTTTAAAAAAATGATTTGTAAAATTTATGCAATTAAAGTTTTAAGAAAATTTAGAAATAAATTACTGAATTAGTCAATTTAGTATCCTAAGATTTATATTACTTACTAGCTGCTGCCTATATAAATAATCTATGAAAAAGAGTAAACAATTGTTTTGCTCTTCTATTACGATGTAAATATTTAAAAGATTAAGAAAAAGCAGTCATCCCTAAAATAAATTTAAAAGCAGGCCTGCATTTATTTTGGCATTCGATGCAACAAATTTTAATGTAAGTGGCTTTGATTAATTTGAGGTTTTTGGGAACAAAAAAAAAAAAAAAAATCTTTCTATAACAAGATTTCTTTTTTGTGTGATTTATGCAAAATTAATATAATATAAATATGGAATAAGAAACTTTTTTTTTCTTTTTAGCTGTAAGCTTTTTGTTACAATTAGAACTTAATTTCCTCCAAGTTTATATTCCTGGTTATTTCTTATCACTAATTATTTATCATTACTAAATGCATGTCTAATGATAGTAATTAAATACTTTTTAAATAACTGTTCAATTACTAAAAATATGAAACTTTCCATACAAGATTTAATTTTTTTTTTTCTGATACAAGTTACTTGTTTAAAACCAGTCATAAAAGGAAATAAAATTTTTTGTATTTCATAAAACACCAGGAGAAAAAAAAAAAAAGTTTCCATAATGATATTGTATCAGAAAATTGATTTATTTTAAGATACAAAGAAAGATGACAGTGTGGCACTATGTTAAAAATCACACCTGGATGCTTTTTTAAAGACAAATATCAGGATTCACTTAAGAACCTTGTCTTTGTTTTGCTAATTTATCTGAAGACTATTCCAGGACAGATTAAGCTAATAGAAAGCTTTCTGAAATTTAATTAGAATCAAATACCCTACCTTTACGACTTACACAAATCAGAGTTTAATGATGCCACAATCATTCCACATAAAAAAAAAAAAAAAAATGTCTTGAATAATTCTACTTTCAAATGATTCATACAAGTCCCAGCATAGAAATTTAAAAAAAAAGAGTTTTATAAGCTTCCTTGGGTAATTTTGTGATGAATTCTTCTCCAGACCAAGAGAAAAGTGTTATTCAATTTGGATGATTAATTGGGGAGAATATAAACTTAAAGAAGCCCCCACCCACTAAAAACACAACATACTAATTTTAATTGTTAATAAGAGAATAACACAAGCCTCATGTAAAATGCAGACTGAAGCAAATTTTCAGAATCAAAATAGGTAGAACACAGTGAACTCAAGATTGTGATTTTTTTTTCTTTGAAAGGATGCAAAAGCTTTATTAAGTGTCACTAGCTCATCTCCAAATTGTTTTGAGTTTTTATTTATTCAAATCTGTTAACATTGACCAGGTTTTACTTACAAACTTAACCAAAAGTACATTCAGCATTGTTTAAATAAGAAAAGAAGATGTCAAGTCTTCAATAAATAATTCAAAATGTTTTAATATCAAGATGCATAAAGAAGGGATATGAAACATACAATAACCAGTCTGAGGGTATCTTGTATCTGAACAGGCCAAACTTACATAATACTGCCATAATCATAATATAGATTTTATTTACAAATATTATCAATATAAGCATCTTTAATAAAGGCAGTTGATATAAATTTAACTTGTTCGGTTGGGACAGGAGAAAGGTTCAGTTGGGGATAAAGGAGAAAGATAGATTAAAAAAAAAAAATTAAGATTAAAAGTGGAGGGTTTTTTTTTTGCAAGGCATAACTAATTTTATTTTCGTTATGTACATTTAAATTTCAAAACTGTCTGATGAATTCTGAATCATGAAAAATCTAAGTGATGAATGAGATTTGTCTGTTTAAAGAACATGTTCTTAAAAAGAGAAACATGAAGCGAATAAGTGAAACTTAATTTTGAAAAAAAAAATTAAATAAAATAATGTTATGCCTTGCAAAGTTCAAATATAACAGAAGGAAATTGTTGGCTGAATAGTTAACAAGGGAAGAATGAAATGGAAATAAAGCCACAAACGAATGGAATATGAAATTTATTGTGTGAAATTTTGCTTTCTCCTCTGGCTTCAATTTGATAAAGAAACTATCATGCTATGCATGCTGGGCCATTGTCTTCCTTCTTTAAGACAAAAGTTAAAATAGAATTTCAATTCTTGCAATGTCTTATGTAAATGAAGGACAGTATTGTAACAACCTCCCCCCTTCCTTAGCAAAAGTTCACTGAGAAAAATATACTCCTTAATATCAATGAAGAACTGCAACCAAAGTTTCACTACTTTGGTATTTTTATTCATTTGCTCAAGTCCTAAGCATAAAGAAGCCATTATTGTTACAGGAAGAGGGCTGAAAATGAAAGATTTGATGAGGAAGAATGGCAGTTTTTGCTGCTTTGGAAATTGAAGTCTTTATTTTTATATTTTTAAAGCGGATTTCTACAGAGTCACACCCATAAAAAAAAGACAAAAACACTTTTGTGGAAAAAAAAAAAAAAAAAAAATTCCAATAACATGTAGCCACAAAGAACCAACTAAAACGTATGAACAGTAGCCAACACAAAAGCATTAACTATCCATGGTTATCCAGAGAAGGCTAGGGAGCAAAGAAGGGTTTCATTCCATTTTTATCACCCGTTTTACACACCTTGCTACTGAATTTAATGAATTGCTTTCTTTGTTTTTGTTGAAAGGGGTGGATCATGAAAAAGAAAAATCAATGTAATGATAACCATTAAATACAAATCTTTTGATCAGTCATATAACTATATATCAGTCATATATGCTATAACCTATAGTATTACTATCTGATAACTTTGTTTTGTTTGATGATAAAATGGTTAGTTCTTCCAGGTTTTGGCTACCATTGTATGTTCCTCTTCTGGGTAACAAGAATCATCATCACCATAGTCAAGAATACAACTGGTGCCATAGTGTGATTTTAGGGGCACTTTGGACACTGAAAACATTATCCATGAAAACAAATTTGACACAGGATAGGTTTAAATGCCTCCTAATGTACCAAAGACTGGAGGCAAAATTTGATCAATCTACCTTGACACTTTTCTTTTTGGAACGCTTCAGGTATCAAGGTTTGACCCCGACCCTCATAAGTGTAATAATGAAAGAATTGGACCCTGGCAGGATAGAGACTTGGGAAACAGTAACCAAACTTTGGAGTTGTCAAAAATGCACTAGTGTTGAATCGAAGGTGTGCATATATGGAAATGTTTACCACAGAGTCGACCACCGATGGAGACCTCAGTACAGTTTCTCCCATTCTGATCAAAAGCAGTTCCACTCAAGAACCTTATGTCTAGAATTCCAAATAGATACATATGATGTGTATGTGGCCATTTGATGAATTCATGTAGAAATAGCGCATCTTAACATACGATAAAAATGGTAAAATAAATAATTATTAAGATGAGACAGAGATGACAATTGTACAACTGTTTGAGTTGAATACTTTGTTTGCAAGGCGGAAGTTTTAGCAGACGATATATTTGGGAAAATGCATGAAGCAAATTAAAAGAAAGAAAAGAAAATATTTCATCCGTCAAATTATAGAAATGAAATAAAGAAACGTTAAGCCAGCCAAGAAGTGTTTCTCGAGAAATGAAAAAGAAAATTATCCTAACTCCGATAGACATTGTCATTACATTAATATAGTCATAAAATGACCAATAAAAAAAAAAAAAGAAAAATTAATGTACATTATATTTGCTATTTTGATAAACAGTAAAACAAAAAGCTTGAAATGTCATTAATTTCAAAATCACAATCTCAAGATAACATTGTTGTAGTAAGTAAGTAAAACTTTTTGTTTCAAACATAAGACAAGAAAAGCTAATGGAAAAATCAATTCATAGTTGACAATTTGTTTCGTCAGTTAATGTTTTTTTTCTACAAGGATGAAACGAAACAAGCAAAAAGATTAAGAAACTAAGATCTATTTGATATTTTGAAATAAAATGAAAAAAAAAAAATCCCTGCAAAGCGACAAAAATATCAACACGATTCAAGGAAATCGGGAGAAAAAAAAAAAGGAAAATGAAAGTTACAATTTTAAAAAGTAATACTTCAAACTAAAGTAAACGCATAAATCTAATAAATATGATGCAATTGTAAAACATTTCATCAGGTTTTGTTTTAGAAAAAAAAGATCGCCCCCAAACAAACTTAATCATAAAGAATAATAAAAATAAAATCCTTAAAAACTAAAAAAGGATCAAACACGAGCGCGGCAAAATTTTCAACGACTAGAAATGGTTTGTGGCGCGTTAAGATGAGGCAACTTTAGGAAAATAAGTGACAGCAAGAATTCTATAAAAAGAAAAAAAATCTCAGGCCTTTTCTCACCATCGTCATCACCTTAAATAATTATCGACATAATCCAAGAAAGATGGGAACAGAGATAAGGGGGGGGGATGTCTTGATGAATGAAGATTTGATTGAAGTAAAAGAAAAACACCTGAACTGAACTAGAAGCGATTGTCACATTTTACGGTCGGTGCTTTGCTTTTCAGAGATTTGTACTTACTTAACACTTGGAAAAAAAAAGAAAGAATTAGAAAAAATAAAAACAAAAAAATTAAAAAAAAAAAAAAGAAAAGAAAGGAAAAACTGGGGGTGACTCCAAAGAACCCACGCTTACAGCAGCATCATTCACATATGTAACATTTTTACGTAGTACAGTAGAAAGCATTGTAGTCCCCTACAATATAAGCTATAAACAATACAATGTTTTTATGTTCTTAGACTGAATGTTCAGTACAAGTTTGGTGTAAAAAGAAAAATAAATAAAAAAAAAAATAAAATGAATAAAAAAATAAAATGGAAAAAAATGAAAAGTTCAACAGGGCCTAGCATTCATTCAGTGTCAATAATTCAAGTGCCCTAAAAGATGCTACATGAATGAATTTTTCGTTTTTGTCTTTTATAATGTTTTTCTCTTTTCTTTTTTTCCTTTTCTTTTTTCTTTCCTTATTTCGAAGATCCATAAAGTTTTGCAATATAATAATTTTTGGCGAGAATTAGGTATTATTACTTAAGGAAAAAAAAAGTAAAAATAATAATTATGCTTATAATAATAAGAAGGACCTAAAGAAAGAAAAATGTCAACATTTTAAGTTAAGAGGTGGGAGAAGACTTGTAAGGTTATTGGGAGGGGTACAAAGAAAAATATTAAAGAATGGCAACTGAATACATTTCGGTCCGTTTTCGTAAAATGTAAGTCTGGAATGCCATGGTAACAGAGTAGATGAAAACAGTTTAAAAAAAAAAAAAAAAAGAAAAAGATGCAGTCTTAAAATGAACTGATGGCAGGGAATAAGGAAAAGATATATATATATATATATATATATATATATATATGTGTGTAAACAAAAAAAAACTAAGAAGAATAGGGTAGGGATATTGATTATAAGAAAGACAGCATGCGTCGGGGTGGGTACAAGTTCATGGATGTTTTCCTAAACTAACCTTTACACCTTTTAAATTGACCTACATTAGTAGAGTGGATCTTGAATTTAGGGAATAAAAATCATAACCTGGCCGCAGCTAGGTTATATACAATTTCTTCAATCTTTCAATTTCTGTTTTTAATCTCTCATTCTCGGCCAGCAACCTCTGTATTTCGTCTCGAAGGATCCGCTTTTCGCAATCCATGAATTCCTCTTCGTTGCTTAGGTAATGTCCATCAGGTTTGCTGTCGTTAGCAAATCTGTAGGTTTCATTTTCTTTCAGTTTATTTTGTATCTGCTCCAGTTGAGACTCCAGTTCGATATATTCTTTAATTAAGCACTCCTTTGACATGCTTTGCAGTCTCTCGGCGTGGATGTTATCATATGTCTCGGAAAACTGCCGAGCGATAAACTTTTTCTCTTCGTCCGTGCTTTCGTAATCCTCAGATGAATCACAGCTGGTTGATGGGTCCTTGCCGTGGCGAACCTCATCATGACCGCATGGGGACAGGACAGATTGGTAAGTGATGTGATCATCGATCAGAAATTGTGTCGTATTGAACGGAGCCCGGGGATGTCCCGATGCGAAAGCTTCTTCTCGTTTTTTTGTCGCCCGTCGCGATTCTCTCTCATCTACGGCCTGTCTTTCAGACCAACTTAATTTGTTATAAGGTCTCCATTTGCGAGCGGGTTGTTTCCCTCGACGATGTTTTTTCTTTCTGGGATTATTGTCCAAATTGTGGCCTTCGCTGCCTTTGTCGCTTTCTTCTTCGCCGTTTTGACAACGGATGAAAGTAGAATCAGGAATCTGTTTACCAACACTTTCAGCGTCAGAACCTTGATTTTCCGAGCAATCAACGTCCGAATTTTGTGTGGGTATGTCACACCTCACGGGACGCGTGTCCGTATTCATTTCAACCATTGACATCGATGACAAATGTTTCGTCGTTTTTCCAAAAACCAGCAACTTCTAAGTTACAATGAAAGCAACTGAAGTTAGCAGACTTGCACATCACAACAGAATAGTAAATCTGCAGCAGTGTCAGTGACAGCTACAGCACAACTAGAGCGAGCAACGCATCAATACTCAGTGTTATAAATATATACACACACCTCCTGTAACGCCTGTTACGTCCGCTGAGAAAAGTAGTTCCGTTAGCAACGCCCTGTACCTCGTTAATTCAGCTTAAATCATCTTCTTTGATAGATCTTCATTATCTTTAGCTTTTAAATATTATAAAGGCTTAGAAAATATTAAAAGAAATATATTAAATGCAGCTAAAAATCGCGATAAAGTTGACAAAAAACGCGCGTAGGTATATAGATAAATAGTACAAAACACCGATGATTGGTCAAAAATTAAAAAAATAAATGAATAAAAAAGGGGGAATTACTCTAGACAAAATTCATTAGGATTTTCATAATTTTTTAAAATATTCGTTTTAATATTTTAAAGCTTAAATATATAGGTTGGGTTTTTTAAAGTTAGAAAAGTGCAAGTGTGTTGTATTTTGAGACAGTAATGTTGTATGATTGCGCTTGCTCATAGGCCCAAGTTTATACACGTGATTAACATTTGTGAACTATAATACTCTTCGTCACTTAACATTAAAACCATTTTCCCCTCTCATTAAGGTTAACCCGCCAGAAAATCGATAACATCTGGAGGTACAAGTAACTTCACAAGATCATCTAATACACAAGATAGTTATATTTTTCCTTAGAAAAATTTCATCGTTTTTTTTTTCTTTTTAATTAAAGTGTCACTATCGATTTTTCGTTACTTGCATAGATAGTTTTTGTTTTTTAGTGTCAATAACTAATGTTTTCTTTCGAAGCTATTGAATAATAATTGTGTTCCTTTTAGTTTTATTAAATTGACATTGTACTTTATTTTTTTCTGGTTAAAAAAAATCCAAGTTTATGAAAATGTCATTTTTAAACTTTATTTTTACAATCTCGAATAATTATTTGCTGAGTTAAACACAGGATCGAATTCATTTCTTTCCAGTGAAGAACTGGTTTTTTACGGGTGAGCGTTACATTCTACTGTAGGCATCCAACTTTCATATGTAGCTTAGGAAATTTGAACATCACCAAACACTAGTAAACGAATGTCCACTGAGCTTAAAAGTTGAACTAACTTTCTTGATAAAAAAAGTTTCGTAATTAAAATAAAAAATCATCACAAGTAATCTAATCAATCAATTGGAGTTTGTAATGTTATCTCTCATCTTTGAAAAGTTCTCGATCATACCAAGATCTTAAAAAATATTAATAGAGAACCTATTTGACCAGATTTTAGGAAGTGGGTCGGATGGGAAGTTTTCATAACTCATACTATTGTAGTTTTTTTTTTTTTTTTTTTTTATATATATATATAAGTACCCTAATACAGAATTTATTCTAAAAATTACACATCTGATGCCTTTTAATGAAACATTTCTAAATTTAACAATGTTAAAATTTAGGTTAAAATAATGTGAAATTTTCTCAGCACAAAAACTTTAAAACTTAATTCCACATTAAGAACAGTGAAAAGAAATTTTCTCACATTCTCAATATTGGGAAGCATTTCAAAAGATTATGTCAAATATTAGCTTAAAATTTACTGATAGATCTTTAAATAAATGCACATGATTCATTTTTAAGCTGTGATATCATTCTAATATTAGTTTGAAAAACATTATGGAATAATCATGACACTTTTTGATTTTTTTTATTCCACAAATTAAGCTATATTTTATCATAACAATAATAAATTTTGTAGTTCATCAAATAAAAGTCACCAGTTTATAGAAACCAATATATTAGTCGGTTAGCTACTTAATACTGTATTCAGATACTTTTAATAATTGTTCATTCAATACAAGGCCCAGGAGCCACTCAAGGTAAAGGGTTACTAGCATCTTCTCAGGAGTTTGTTCCACAAGACAGCAGTTCTTGGGAAGAAGCTGTCTGGCTGGAACTTCGTTCTTATTAGTGTAATATGAAGGGAATAAGGAGGGTTAACTATTGTGTACATAGCATGGCATAGCAGGTCTTAGCTGTGAAGGTCAAGGCTGGTGAAACTGATGAATGCAACTCATCAGAACATTTGCTATGGAAATAGTGACAGCATTTTGTCTGTGGGGTAGGGGTTGTAGAGTGGAAAATAATTCATCACCCACAACACGAAAAAGATGCTTCTGAACTCTATCAAGGTAGGAAAATAATGGCTGGGTGGCTCCAGCCTAGATATGGCAACAGTATTTCATTTTTGTTTTGATTTGGCTCTTGTAAAGATAGAACATAGTAGATACTTAATGGAATGGTACAAGAAACCAACATTTTTTCCAGCATCATCAGCAATAGCTCATGTATATAAGTTCATCTTGAGGTAAACTTATATAGGCAAGGCAAGGAACCACCTTGAGAGAACAGCCCTTGGAAATGTAGCGACAGGCTAAGTAGAAGAAGTTAAATCTATTTAGCAACAAGCATAGTTCTAGGTTTTGAAAGAAATACATTTAGAATATGTACAAAATAGCAACAATAAAGAAAGATTTATTATGACTTGTATCTTGAATTGAAAGAGAATGTAATAAATGAAGAATTTGATAATAGTTTAGATAACTTCTCACTAAAGTTGACTTGGAAAGGTAGTTAAGTTTTGTAGTTGTGTTAATATGTATATTTTTTTTTTCTTTTTGTTTTTTTTTACTAACATTCACTCAATACAAAGGCCACTCAAGATAGAGGGTTAGTGTGTGGAGTTGTATTAGTGTGAGAAATGGCAAGATAACAGGAAAGTTAGACTAATTCTAGACTTGAAGAGGTCAAGATTTAATTAGTAAAATTCAGTTCAGATGGAGATTTTAGGAGTATAGAGTTGAAGTAGACTTTAGAAGGCACCAGAAACATAATCTTAAACAGGAAACAAAGGATAAGCCTCTACTGTTCAAAAGACTGGGGGGATGTGTGAACTGGATGATAGGCAAACCTATCTACTCCTATTGGAAAGGGAAAAAAAATAATAATTACTGAAAAAAATTCAGGTGGAGACATCAGAAGTACAGAATTGAAGGAACAGGAAACATGAGATAAACTTCAAAGTTTAGGCAAAGATGTTAGGAGTACAGATAGTTGATTTTGTTTAGTGGCATATCAACCTTTATGGGTTATTTAATGCCAAAATCTAAATATTGTGAACAATTTTATGGCTTCAACTTCAGATTAAATGTAACGTTGGTCATTCTACTATAAAATGTATTGTTGGTCATTTTTTTAATATAAATATGTATTGCTGGTATTTTAATATAATTTTGCTTGTGGACGCTAACAAGTGCTACCACCCTGGGTCAGAGTGGACCTGAGAACAACAGCAATTAAAAGGTGGTTCCATACTCCTTAAAACCTCCAATCTTCCAATCAAAGGCATTGCTGCCACATGTAGTCTATCATCATACTCAGGACTGAGGAGTATAGAGCTGAAGTAGACTTTAGAAGGGAATGGAAACCCAATCTTAAACAGGAAATAAAGGATTAACATCTACTCCTGTTTAAAGTTGTGTAGTGTGTTAAGGGTTTTGTAAGTATGTGAGAATATGACTGATATTAAGAAATGTGTTAACTGCAGACATTATTGTCACTTGTTATCAGTTTAGCTGAAAAATTTTAAATGGTTCTAGAAATATCTTTTCATATTTAACTTTTAGTCTTCAAAAAAAAAAACAAGTCATTCTCTAAAGAGTTGACATACATGAAGAAAAGCAATAAAAGCAGCCTATCTGTATTACAAAAATGCAATGCTCTGATGGATTTTATCAAGGTAATAAAGTCCATCAGAAGATGAAAACACTTTAAAGAAAAGTTTTCATATTATATTTTCACAAATATATTTATATATGGATTTTTACACACACATATATTAATGTATATTTGAGCAGCAATCTATCTTTTAAACATGTTTTTTAATATGACAGACAAAGAACATTTAAATAAATTTTTATTCAGTTGTTACAGCATTATTACATTTTTTCATTTGGTGGGAATAAGAGGGCACAAAAATTGTTCCAACTGTTTTTGGTCACATCTTTAACCATTTCTAAGGGTGTTTATTTTTAAGTTTTATTAAATTCTCTTCATGTTTGACTCTATAAGATGTGTTTTTGTGTTGTTTTGGATACCAGCAGGAACATTTATTCTGAGCATATATATATATATATATATATATATATATATATATATATATATATATATACTAGCTTAAAAGCCACCCTATTGGGTGGCATTTAAGCTAGCTCCTGTGGAGGGCTCTTGATTGGGTCTTCATTCTAATAGGCAGGGAGGAGTAGATGTGATAGATAACAATAAAATGCAGAAGAACTCAAAATTGATCACTGCATTTAAGTATTACATTAATATTTAAGTTCATCTTTTAAAAGTTCAATGATAATTCTTCTGCCACCACTTAATTTAAAGACAATTTGATGTACATAGGCCCTTACTTTCTATTATTTTTATTCCATGGGTGACTTTTGGTTGATTTCACAATTAATTTTGATTATTCCCAAATTTATTTCCAAATTATAAAAATTGTTATTGTACAAAAATATTTGTCACAAAAAATCACATAGAAAAATCGCCAAAAACATATGCAGTAATGGAAACGTAATACACTGACATTCGCATTTATTGTTTAGAAGAAGATGAGCTACTGAAAGTTAGAGAGTTGTGTCCCTTTAATTGAAAAAGTTTGATTTATTCATATATATATATATATATATATATATATATATATATATATATATATATATATATATATATATATATATATTTTCATGGAATGTCTTCAAACATGAAACAGTCTGCTACTGCTCAGTGTTGACATTAGTGTTCAGTTATATATATATATATATATATATTTCTCACCCACACAAGACAGACATGCTTACGGAGGTATTGAGGCCTCACACTTATACACACACCCACATGAATATACACACTTACACACATCATACTCACTCACTCCCTAATGAGCCAAATGATAACACACACCCACAGCAATACACACGTTTACACATATCATACTCACTCACTCCCTAAGAACCAAATAACACACACAAACACTACACAGAGACACATCCCCTCTCCAGGACCAATAAAACTGTCAAACTGACCAAGGGAATTCAGGGAAGCATAGATCCATCCAGCTCTTATCTCAAATAATAACTTAAAAGAGACTGTTTGACCAACACAAGGAATGTTAAAAGATTCATGTTAAAAAGATAAAAAAACAAATGAAAACTACAGACAAAAGTTCATTTTCTCCATCAAGATATTCATTTCTGTAGTTTACTGCTACCAGCAAGCAGAAATATTTCCTCTCCTGATGATGGCCATTTTGGCCGAAACTAGTCGAGGAATCTAAATGAAATAATAATAATAAAAAAAAAAAAGAATATTAATCTACAACCCAGTATGTCTGAAGATTGTAATTTTTTAATATTTTTATTGTATATATATATATATATATATATATATATATATATATATATATATATATATATATATATAAAACTCAATAAATTATAAAATAAAAATGAGTTAAAAACTCACAAATGAGTGACTTGAGTTTCATTTATTTTCTGACTCTTCAGTCAGCTTGTGAAAAAAATCATAGCAATCTTCCATTGTTTATATTTAACCAATAGAACCACATGGTTTGAAAGACCGGTTCCCATATGATGACTGAAGTTAAGCAACATCAAGCCTGGTCAGTACTTAAATGGGTGACCACTTTGGAATACCAAGTGCTGTAAGTTTGAATGTGTGGGTGGTGTAATGGCTCAGAATTGTTAACTGGAGAACTGAGTTTCAATTCCCAGAGATTTCGTTATATCCACTTACGCTCAAATACCCTCAGGAAAGGTACAAATCCACCTCTTCTCCCCCACCCCTAGCTATAAGTTAATTTGTAAGACTTGTATCACTAAACTATTATCTCTAAGCAAAAAAAATTGTTACAATCTAAAAATATTTCTGAATTTAAATAACCTGTAAATTGTTAATAAGCTGTATAGTTTCAGAAATTTACATAACTTATCACAACTTTTTTTTTTAGCCAGGTTTAAAGTGTAACAACATGTACTTTTGGACATGCCTGAAACTGGACATTATTTTGGTCTTTTTATTTAATAAATTTTTATGTTCTTCAAACAGTATTATTTGTAATTTTTCCCTTCTAGCAAAAATAACAAACATCCAATCACTGTTGATGACTTTTAGTTATTCTCAATATTCTCAAATTAATTTCAGGGAAGATTTCTTTCTTTTTAAAAAAATTGTGATACCATGAATAAGTATGCAAATTTCTGACACCTCATGGTTTAATTGGTCAAATATATATAATAGGAGATTTATGATTTTTTTTCGCAAGCAGCCAAAACTTGAGGAGCTAGTTTCTGAGTTTTTGATTTGTTTTATTTCTTATAATTTATGTTAGATCACATTCAGCACTTTTCTTGGTTTATGATATTAGGAGTACAGATAGTTGATTTTGTTTAGTGGCATATCAACCTTTATGGGTTATTTAATGCCAAAATCTAAATATTGTGAACAATTTTATGGCTTCAACTTCAGATGAAATGTAACGTTGGTCATTCTACTATAAAATGTATTGTTGGTCATTTTTTTTAATATAAATATGTATTGCTGGTATTTTAATATAATTTTCAGCACTTTTCTTGGTTTATGATATTATTGAGGTGGTATAGTTGGCCCATACCACTATTAGTACAGTTTATTGAGCTTATATATTGTGGATTATCCCAATTGATTTCACCAAATGCACATTAGGTGGCACTGTTTAAGTCTCTAAAAAAAACAAATGTTTCCTTTCTCTCCCTCTTTTTTCCTCTTGCTCCAAAATGTAGCAAGACATAGATGAAGACAGGGAACATTCATTTCCCTGGTCAGTTCATGACTGAATACTTATGCAGATTTATCACACATACAAACAAGCACATTTTTAATAGCTAAGTTTTTAATGTCTCCTCCATTCCTTTCAACTGCATACACATTAATGTAATTTCTTTTGTTAAAAAAATGCATTTATTTGCCGTTTCTTTAGATTCCATATTTTTATGTCTTGCATTTACCAGGGATCACGAGTCTGCCAAATATTGTTTGCGGGAAAAGTGTGCCAGGAGTGCATGTGTGTTCAAAAATTTGGAATTTTATTTATTAGGCATTGAAGTAGATTGCTTAGCATCATCTATAGTTTACCTTGACTTTCATAGTTAGCTTGAAGAATATTTATGAGCATTCTTTAATTTAGAAATTCTTAAAACTTAGTGATATTTTTACTTCTGTTTATAAATACATGTTGTGAAATAAAATCTTTACATTTTCCATGATAAAGTCCATAAGAGGATGAAACGCATCAGTAAAGAAAAGTTTTTCTTTCGTTTTAGATTTAGCTGTGTAATTCTACCGAGTGAAGATAGCTCCGTGGTAGAAGCTCTGACACCAAATCAGTTGGGTTTTGAGCCTGGCTTGAGATATTTGGATGTCTAGTTGCACTGAGGAGCTGTGATACAGTGAAACAGTACTGTTTGTGAATGACATAATTCAGCTCTTGAAAATATATTTCAATTGAGCACTGTTGAGTGATCTAATTCTATAAACAACAGCCACCTGTGCTAATGCAAAGCTCTTCAGTAAAATGAATGGAGCACTTTAGCTGATTGGCATTTGTTTACATTCGTAAAAACAATATTCTAGGTTTAGCTGTGTAACATACTGAGTGAAGATAGCTCAGTGGTAGAAGCTCTGACTGACACCAAATCAGTTGGGTTTTGATCCTGGCTTGAGGTATTTGGATGTCTAGTCGCACGGAGGAGCTGTGATACAGCGAAACGCTACTGTCTGTGAATGACACACACACACACACATATATATTTCTAGAAAGTGCTAGTATAGAATGGATAGATATAGGAGGCACAGTGGAGTAATGGATAGTGTCTTGGATTGAGGAATCAGAGAGCCAAGTTCAAATTCCAGTCGAATCCATTACATTCATTTATGTGCTAATACCCTTGGGAAAGGTATGAATCATCTTCTTTTCCCCCCAGCTATGGATAAATAGCAGGACAGACTGGGTTCTATAGCTTTGGATGGCAACTGGTCTATTGCAGAAAGAAATGGCAACCTACTACGGAAAAAAGTCTGCCTCTTCAGTCATGTATGGAAAATAACAGAATACAATCTAGAATAATTATAGGACCCTATTTAAGAATACTCAGAATATGAAACCTGAGGAAGAAATATACATAGAAAACACTTTCAATATCCTCATAATTTCATCCAAACTGCTAAGAGAATGACATACAAAATATAAAACTGCAAAAAAGATAATTACATTATTAATAATAACAATGACAATAAACTGGATAAAAACAACCATATAATACTACCTGCTAACTCGTTAACATCTACTCTCCAAAACAATTTAACCAATCTTAACATCAAAAAAATTACAACCACATCCCAAACTATTATAGAACCAAAAATATCTGTAAACTATAATAATTCTGAAGCAGGTATATATATAAAAAATAAACTGTTTCAACTATTCCTTACATACACACACACACACACACACACACACACACATATATATATATATATATATATATATATATATATATATATTGCATTTTTACATGCCACTTGTACAACTCTGAGTTTCATGCTGCTAGCAATTATCAAGTAGAAATCTATTTGTAATAATTGAAATCTAAGTAAGCTCTGTCTTTCAACATTTAGCACTTGGTCTTTTACCATTGTAAGCTTTTGTACACTTTAGACTATTTTATAATATATATATGTATATACCTATTTAGTAAAATATAGGTTTATTCAGATTAAATAAAAATAAAAGGAATTTTTTTTATTTTTCCACCTTAACTTGATTGAACAATATAGTTAACATTTTTGTTCAACTGTCTTCTGCTATCGTTCAAGCAACACCATAATTTAAATCCACCAAGAAATTTTTATCCTTTTGAGCAAACAAGTGCTCTAGGAGCATTTTGCAGTCTTCCTGGGAATTGAATTAAGAGAGTTCTGTAAAGATCAGCATAAGCATTAACAGGTACAAATCCATCCAAAATACAAAAGAAAATATCATTTTAAATATTTCAAGAAATTTTATAAATAAAACTTCAAATAATCACAAATTAACTTTAAAGATATAAATTTATTTTGTTATCATCTCATATCAGTGTTTTTTGTCTTTCTGCAAATTTTTCTCCAGTTGGTCTTCATCTGTTGTAAAAAATCTAACAATAAACTCTGTGGTTCATCAAAAAATGCTTTAATCTCAGGACACTGAAATCAATATATAAATACACACTTATCTAAAATGTGCTTCACCCAAAATAGAAAGATTACTTTACTACCTACAAACCTATGATTTTAATGAGATTAAAAAATGTTAAATAAAGGTTAAAGATAAAGATCAAAATTAATTTTGGAACATGCCTGCTATAGTTTTTATTAATTCTACACTACTTGCTAACAATTATAGACTGATGGTCTGAAAGTTATGGTAAAAAAAACAACAGAAAGAAAACTGTCATGTATTAATAATGATTAACAAAGACTTCTAGGAAATTTTGTCATCCTGGTTGTTTATATTAAAAATTCAAATGTCCAAATTCCACAGAATCATACTTATTATAAAACCCAGGTTGTGTGTGTCTGTTCGTTTATATATTGGATCGAATTTCCTACATTTTTCAACCAATTTCGTCAAAACTTCACAGGACTACGTAAAATTACCTTGCGGTGGTTCTGACAGCGCCAAAAATTGGAAAAACACAATTGTTTTTGCACAAAATCAATTTGAAAGCACGATTAAGAGGCTGTTGCGAGAATGAAAGGGAGACAACTCTTATCCAGCTTTACATATAAAACCCAGGTTATTTGTGTGTGTGTGTGTGTGTGTGTGTGTGTTCATTTATATATGGGATCCGATTTCCTACATTTTTCAACCGATTTTAACAAAACATCACTTTTTTTTGGCAGGTAGTGTTTCTTATTGTCTGGCACACTTTTTTCTTTATTTTTACATTCAGAATGCTTTAAAAATTTCATTTACAAGACAATTGTTTATAATAAAATTCTATTCAATCGGTAGACTCAGAATGATTGAAAACAATGTTTTTGTTTGAGTTTGGATTTGACCAAATCGTAAAAAAAAAAAAAACAAAAAAAAATAATTATATCATGCGTGTCCGTCAACCTTAAACAATAATCTTTGTCAATTTTATTTTTCAGTCTTTATGATGGTCGATACTTGATCTATTTCTTACTGTTACATGCCCGGCAATGCCGGGCTCTACTGCTAGTAATAAAATAAAAATAAAGAAAACATGTGTTAAATAAATCATTTGTATTTACAAATATATGTAAATGAATTCAGAAGAGTTAAAAAGAAGTAAAAATAGTCTTTAGTTGAGTTAAATTTTTTTGGGTAGTTGGTCCACAAAAAAATTTGTAGTTTAGAAAAGATTTTTACATAGTCCACAGAAAAAAAGTTTGAGAAAAAGACTTTTATCATTATTGAAGATTCACTGACCATATTTATTGATATTGTTGGAGATGATTTATTTGAAGTCACTGACTGGCTGACTATGCTGTTGTTGTTAGAGATGACTTATTTGAAGTTGCCGACATGTTTCTTTCAATGCACACTGGGGGGGGGAAGGAAAAAACTATGCAGCCATTGTTATACTTTGTCACAATTAGTTCTTAG